ACCTTTAACAACCATGGGGAAAATAGAAAGCCTCTTTCCATGACTAGTATGGGATTCCTTTCGACTGTTCTTTTGAAGATACTCAACTTTATTTGTCCAATTTAACATCCTCCTTCTCTACTACCAACCAACTACCAGTTTTAGTCCGTGAGGCAGACACCCTGTCTACTTTTAAGGCTAGGCTTAAAACTTTCCTTTTTGATAAAGCTTAAAGTTAGAGTGGCTCAGGTTATCCTGAGTAAATTCTTCATGTTCTCTTGCATTTTGCTGTGACACCAAAAATGACTGTAAGGTGTTTTTTTTTTTAAATCATATCTCAGGACATTTCAATGCGCTCCAGATGAAAGGAAAAACTCAAATAGACAATATTCCAAAGATCTAGGAGCAGTAAAGAATTAAGGTAGCAAACCTTTAATTGCCGTTCTTCCAGCATTAAGCCATGTTTACATTCATCCATCTTCCTGCGAACTTTAACCATATTTCCTGTTCTTGTTAGAAAATAACAAAGTACTTCCAACTACAGGGAGAAATACTGAACATAGGCATGAATGCAAAAGAAAACATTTCTGCAGTGAAGTCCTGAAAACGTGTCACAACATGAAGGATGTTGGCAATTAAGGGAGTGTGCCCCAAATTACAGCTTCATTATAGCTGAAAAATAGGATAATGAGAAACATTTACTCCACTGCTCTTATTCTACTTTACATCACAGTAACATTCATTCATATCCAGCGTGATTAATTACAGGAAACGCAGCGTTTTCTTGCCCCCTCATGTCACTGTTAGGCATTAGATGATGGCTTATGTCTTTTTTTTCCTATATTAGCTCAGCTGCTCACTTTAGTGTCTCCCTCGTTCTCATCGCCGCGTCCACTTTTGTCCTCTAATGCTTTAGTTATGCATAATTCCATCATAAAGAGCCTGCACAGATCCACTCAGTGACATGGAAATGCAGTTCTGGCCTCTGCTGCCAGACACTTTGACTGTGTCAGGATCTGGAACCCTTTATGACTGTGACAGTGAGAGAGGATATCACGTGTATGGCTTTGTAGTGTGAGGATAAGATAACCTACAATATGTTTGATTAACACATTAGACATCAGATTAATAAAGAAAAGTCTTAAAAAACTTCAACGCTTCATTCATTCATCTGATCCCAGCCTGAATTATGCATGAGAAGCAGCTTGCTCATACGTAAATCTGACAACACTGTTTGCTAAGTGGTCCAGAGATGCCTCTGAGTCCCTGTGTGCTCTTGTTCATGCCCCCGTATCCTTGACTGAAGTTGGAACAATGACAGTGATGAAGGAACGATGCATTTGTTTGTGCTCTTGCATCCGTTGGCCTGTCAGATCTTTCTTAGTTACAAATCAAAAGCTGTTTGGTGCATTTGGTCCGGCGGCAATACTAGCTGTCTTCATTAGTGTGTGTGTGGCTGACTGTCAGGGACTTTGCAAAGGACTCTGAACTCAGTGGAACTGAGAGAATACTGGGACAGATTGAGACAATGCTATCATCTACCTGTCTGTCTGTCTGTCTGTCTGTTCATCATCCATCACCCCACCCAACCTTTTACGTATATCATATATTTATCATATAAACTAGGAGGGAAATATTGGAGTTTTTCCCTTGTCAAAAGTAAAAGGTAAAACATAAACTTTTGGAGTTTTGTGTATCTCTCATGTTTCTCTCAATAAAACTGCCGCAGTGTTTGTGTTGAGGCTCAGCAAGCTTGGTGTCATTGGGAAGAGGAGAACGAGAGCTTCCTGTAGATATGCGCACATCCTATGTTGACAGTGATATATTCATATACATGTGCTGAAAATCAGAGATGGCAAAAGTACTCACTTTCCGTACTTGAGTAAAAGTACAGATACTTGTGTTAAAAAATACTCTGGTAAAAGTGGAAGTACTGACTAAACTTCTTTACTCAAGTAAAAGTAACAAAGTACAGGCTTGTAAATTTACTTAAAGTATAAAAGTAAAAGTAGAAACCACTTTTTTCATGCCGTTGCCTACATTTTAAATGGATGTCTGCCAATAGGACTAGATCTCCGTTGTGTTCATTTTCAATCATCTCGTCGTCCATACTACTGTCATGTTGGGGTTCAGGTTTCTAACCCACATGCAGAACACCAAGGAGTCAGAGTAAAAGTTGAACAATTTATTGAGGGTTTGCACAAGGTTGTTTGACAGATACTGGAATCAAATGATAAACACAATGTTAGTTGACAGGTGCTGGAATCAGATCCGGGACTGGTCACACAAGGCTCTCTGCAGAGAGGGACAGTTAGGTTAGCCAGGCAGCAAATGATCATGTAGCTGAGAGAACGTGCAGATCTGTAGCTGTTCAGAGATTCAGCCTGAGCGGCAGAGGGAGGGAACCAGGAGGGTCTAGAGACTGATTGATGGCAGAGGGTTTTGGCAGCGACAGAACTGAGAGCAGGCAGGCAGGTTTCAGTGAGTTGCTCTTCCAGAGCTCCAGGTCTCAGTCAGATTCTTCCTAAAGGGGCAGAGAGGACAGAAAACTGGTTAGGCTCAAGTCAGGCTTTCAGGGAGTCAGAGAGTCTGGCAGGCTTGTTGGCTCAGGCTTGCTAACTGTAACTGGCGTAACACTCTGGCGCTGAAGAGTAGTCCTGCTGCTGCTTATATGCTGCTCTCCCTGATGAGCAAATCAGCCGCAGGCGTGGTAGTCAGCTTCAGCTCCAGGAGACCTAGGGCGCCCTCTGCTGGAGAAAGGTGGACAGATCTCCAGATCCCAACAACTACTATGCTAACGCCACCAAGCTGCAATGATTTGCCGCCAATGAATACCGCCGAATCTGTCGATTCATCTTGTAGTGGTGCGTCAAATGCAACGTAGATTCCCATCCAATTAGATTGAATTTGGTATTGATGACGTGAAAAATAATAACGGTAACTCCATTGAAATGATTCAAAACTAAAGTAACGAGACAATTTTTTAAATGTAAGGAGTAGAAAGTACAGATATTTTTGTAAAAATGTAAGGAGTAGAAGTAAAAAGTCTGATGACACACGACTGCGTCCCCAGGTTCACCACCGATCACATGGTGAAGTTTGCAGACGACGCCACGGTGGTGGGCCTCATCAGAGACGACAACGACAGAGAGGAGGTGGAGCAGCTGGTGGAGCAGAGATAACAGCCTGATCCTGAAGGTGGAGAAGACCAAGGAGATCATGGTGGACTTCAGGAAGAAGCGGCCTAACCACGCTCCACTGCTCATCAACAGCTCAGCTGTAGAGGTGGTCAGCAGCACCACATTCATCACAGACTTCCTGCTTGGACTTCCTGCGGAGGAAGTCCAAGCAGGAAGTCCTCCCCACCTTCTCCAGAAGCACCATAGAGAGCGTTCTGAGCAGCTGTCTCACTGTGTGGTGTGGAGGCTGCAGCGCCTCAGACTGGAAGAAGGTGAGAACAGCAGAGAGGATCATGGGGGCTCCTCTTCCCTCCATTAAAGACATTTCATCCCAGCGCTGCGTGTCCCGAGCCCGTGACATCATCAATGACCCCTCACCCCCCCACCATGGACTGTTCTCCCTGCTGCCCTCTGGGAAGAGGCTTCACAGCATTCAATGCAGGACCAGCAGGTTCTGCAGCAGCTTCTTCCCCACCGCCATCACACTGATGAACTGCTGAAAAACTCTGAATCACGTCCCAGACTCTGCATCACACTGATAACACCAAACAAACAACACTGCATAATTGCATCATAGATATTAATGCTCTGAACTTTCAGATAAATGCGTTTTGCACCATGTTTTTCATGCATCGAAATGGGCAAAGCTTCTGGAGGAAAGCTCTATTTTATGGATTGCTTGGCTTTTATTTCATGCAGTCAGTAGTGCAGGCAGTCCTTTCTGAATCTTTCAGCCACTGTCCAGATGTTCTGAAGGAGAATCCGATCTCGTTCCACTCCTGGTATCAGTTTCCTGTCCTCCCTGCATCCTGTTGCTACATTCTTTCAGTTTATTTAGTGACTCTCCCTCCAGGACCACCAGGCTACCAGATAAAACACGCCTGGTTCCTGTGTCTATGTGCTCATTACAGCGGTCAGCATGAGCACACAGTGTGTTCTGACATCTTTTTATCAGAACCATAGTTAATCCGTGTAGTGGTGCTTCAGAGATGCTCCGACCGATTTCTCCATCAATCATAAACGGGCCCTTGTCAAAATCCCCAAAATCCTTGTATTTGTCCTTCTGCTGAAACAGAACTACATGTTCTCTCAGCTGCAGTGCTGAAGAGGAAAGAGCTGTTACTGACTGACCTCATCTGTTCCAAAGGTTTACCTAATCACGCCAAAAGCTGCGGCGCTCATTATTTCTAATCTCATATGGGAACGTTCAGATTTATTTTCATGTATGAATGAAACATTCATCCATGTGTAGATAGTCTACATAGAAAAGTCTATTATTTGGTGGGTGGAGTTGATGAAACAGTTGGAGGATTGAAACAGGAGACAGGCTCTATTTATTATGAACGGTTTGCTTTAGTGTGAGAAAGGTGGTGCAACAATTGACGCTGTTTGACTCCAGAAGAGGGGGCTGATGGGTGAAGTTTACAGAGAGGAAACCTTTATGCTTTGAACACAGTAAAGATACAATGTGGCAGGAAAAAATGGCGATAAGGCTTCAAAATAAGAGCATTCCCAAGAGGGGAGAGGAATGGACTGCTGCGCTTCTGATTGAGAGGTTTTTGGAAAAATGAAATGAAAATCTAATTAAAAATGGAGGCTGTTTAATCAGTAAGGTTTTACCACATAAATACAATCATCAATCACATATATATAAATATATATATATATATATATATATATATATATATATATATATATATATATATATATATATATATATATATATATATATATATATATATATATATATATTATCCCCCTCCACCCTGCACCCCTCTTTCTAGCAGCATGGGTTTATTTTGAAGGATTTGCCTGGAAGTCATTCCGGTGGAATTCGGCTCTCTTGATAGCAGCGCGAGCCCCGGGCTTCCAAATAAGGAATTTGGCTCTCGCCGCGCGGACACACGGACGGACAGGGACGCTCCAGAGCCGCGAGCGGCTGACGGCGCTTCCCGAGACGGGCGCGAGCTTCCCTTTGATCTGCGGCTCCGAAGCAGCTCCTACATTCACCTGGCAGCGCGCGGCGTGCGGAGAGGATCTCCAATTTGGAAAATCACTTAACTTTTTTTAAAGAAACTGGAAGGATTTCTGGGATTCCAAACAAAATATATATAAATGAAAAATAAACAGAGCAAAAAGCAGCAAATAAAGGAATAAAGTGAAGAGAAAGGCGGATGTTTGACTGTGGAATGAGGGAAGTTTGATGCTGGAGCAGTGTCTGAACACCAGGAGGAACCTCTGTGGATTTTCTGATTCCGTTTTACGCACCAGGAGCGCAGCACGCGGACAGCCTGGACTGCTGACATCTCCCTGCCCTCCGCAGCCCTCACAGCCCCGCACCTGTTCTGCTGCATTTCCAAAGTCCAGGGCGTTTTGTGGACTTACCGCAGGACTTCCTGTGCTGGATTTGGTCAAAGCATCGCCCGCTGCCATGCTCCGGACGGACTGCTGACCAACTCAAGGTAAATTCCTGCCTTTATTAGAGCGCTTTACTGTCAGCTGCTCATCTCAAAGTTTTCTTTTTGTTTGAGCAATGAAACACATTTGGCTAAAGGAACAAACAGGTGAGATGTTGAAGCCTTGGATCATCCGCTGGTTGGCAGGTCAGGGAACAGCAGCTCACACGCCCAGGAGGCGCAGCGCGGCGCGGTGCGCGGCGTGGCGCGGCGCGGCGCGGCGCTTCTCCCCGGGGATGCGGTGTCCCCAAACCAAACCTGCTCACCAACATGGCAGCTCAGCCGCTGTTTTTTATATTCTTACTGAAAATGAACAAGAGCAGTAAAAAAGTGACCTGATCTCTGCACACAATTGGTCCACAAGCTTCACCCCTGTTTACCTAAACTGATTAGATGCTTCCTTCAGAAGGAGGATAGCCTACTTACTATAAAAATATTCATGCTTATCTAAATAAACATTTTAAAACACACTAAGTTATTTTTTTATTTAAAAAGCGGCGGAAGATGAACTCATCCTTCTGCTCCGCGTGTCACCGTTTCTTCACTAATTCACTCTTTAAGCTATCAGATTATTTATCTGTATATTCGTTCAGAAGAAGAAAAGCTTGATTGTGTCAAAGTGCGGAGCTGCTTCCAGGAAATCCTCCTCCAAACATCCTGCACGCTGAAGCCATGGAGAGGATCGCTCCTCCTGGAGGAGGACATGGATGGAGCGGCTGTGGCGCACCGTCTGCCTCCAGCTGACGGCCTGCCTCCCAGGAGACCCCATCCTCACAGAAGGAGTGTCACTCTGTCTCCTTCTGCTCCGAGGAGCCTCCTTCATGTCTGCAGGCTGTGGACTCAGAACCTGGACTGGATGGAGGTCTGCTTCCAATGGAAGAGCCGTCCATTCCTTCTCCATTAGAAAAGGAAAGGTCAATATTTCACGCTCTAAGGTTTTAGGAGAACCAGATCAGCCTGTTGGGGGCGCTAGAGAACAGACATCCCTTCATCCCTTCTAGAAGATGAAAGCCTCAGCTTCATTGGGCCACAGCCTGAATGAACAAAGAGTGGACGGTTTGAAGAAGGAGTCTGGTTGTTTCCTGTCCGATCGGCAAACCCAGGAACAGAGATCAGCCTCAGCTTTGAAGACTCTGCGTTTTGTTCTGGTTTTCGTGTTCGCATGAAGCTCCTGCTGACGGTGGCCTAAAGAAAAACAACAGCACTGTTGGTTAATTATTCCCAGATTTTATAGATGGGAGCTGATAAATACAGCTTAGGTCTGAAACCGTCCACAGCTCAGGTTTCTCTCACATCATCTGACAATCAGTCATTTTATATAAATGTTCCTGCAATTTATCCATAAATATACATTTTGTTATCAGTGTGTGTATTTTTGTTGCAGCTGATTTCCATTGATAGCTGATTATTAGAAACCTCTAAAACCTGCAGGACTGCGGCCCTCAGGGACCCACTTTATAGATGCCTGCTTTAGTGGAAAACAGCAACAGGTGGGGGAGGAGCAGCACTCAGTGGTCCAGTCAGAAAACAGACTTAGACCACTTTATTAATCACACCAGGGGCAATTCTTTTGAGCAGTACAGGAGAAAAACAAATAAATAGAAATAAAATGATAAAAATAAAACGTGAAAGGGAGATTTAATAACAATAAAAAAACACAGAAAGATAGTGAAAAGATAACACAGTTATCTTTTTAAGATCTTTAAAAATATTTTTTAAGATTTAGTCTGACTCCAGGATTGTGAATAACCTCTTTAAATGTTGGGAGCTCCAGGATGGACATTTTCAGCAGCTTTCAGTGGTAAATTCTGCCAAAAATAAGCAGGAGTTTAGAATAAAACATATTCTGTCAGGAGCTGTAATTATCTTGTCAAAAAACACTTTTTAAAAGACGTTGATAGTTTAGAAAGCCAGCATGTAGCTGCTAATGGTGGATAATCAGAGAGTATTTTCCGCGTCACGCTCCTGCAGAGAAGCAGAGGATGGAAGGAGGAGGATAAACCTGGAGTCCTTCCTTCAGAGACACAAAGACACATGTTGACCATTTGGCAGCTGCTGGAAATGCTCCTAAAGGAAAGCGAATGTTTTCAGGCCTGCCTGGGTCCAGGTAGTGCATGTTAGCAGCCGGCTGCTTTATCTCCAGGAGGAGAGCAGATAAGAGAAGGAAAGTCAACAGCGGAGTCCTGACAGGCTCTGCTAGCTCCGAGTCGCAGCGATGAGACAAGCCAGCAGTGTAACTCTGGCCTTTTCAGGGCCACTCATGCATGTTTCTTTAACCTACTTTTCCTCTCTGGTTTCGGAGCCACATCCTCCCTCAGCGTTGGAAAACGCCAAGCCGCTCGCCCCCCCCGTCCTCCCATCCTCCCATAGCTCCATGGCCACGGCGTCCAGGGCTGCCTGCTGTCAAAGATGCTCCTACGTGAATTAGTACGATCAGAGAGAGCAGAGCAGACAGCGAGGGGAAGGAGGCTCCTCTACAGACGGCCTTACCCATCATGCTTTGGGGTAAAAGGCCAGCAGTCGGTCTCAGCAGACAGGAGCTTTGAGGGGAAAACCTGCAGAGATCTCATGTCTGAAACATCCGCCTGCAGTCATCCAATGGGAGGCTTCCTCAGGTCCAGTGGAACTATTGGTGTCTTTCCTTTGGGACGGTGCTGAATGCGGCCTGGTGGGCGGAGTCAGGGAATTTATTCCTGCAAAAAGTGACCAAAGCTGCTGGCCTGTTAGCGTCGTTTAGCAATGATTGACACTGATGGCCGCTGCACATCAAACCGTCCCCGTCTCATTGGACGTTTGGTCGTCATGGTAAAGCTTCAGATGAACAGGAAGTCTACAGACTGAAGGAACATGTTGCTGCTCACTGATAGCTGCGGCTCTGACCGCTTCAGGGCTCCTGTTGCTAAGGCATAAAGCTGTGCTCCTATCAGCTCTTTGATGTGGACACGGTCAGAGCGTGTGAGCAGGAACAAAGCAGCCGCTGATGGTCTGAGATGATCGGCTTTTTCCGACATCCAGGCTGGATTTTCTTCGGGTCAGACTGTGACTCTGTATGAATAACGAGCGACGCTGCAGAGGATCACGTCAGTAGAGCCTAAATCCATAAACGCCAAACTTTAGAGATTCATGGTTTAAAACTGTGGAGCAGCTGTGGGAAAATAACAGGGGAAGCATTTCTGGAAGTTTCTGTTCAATGAAAAAACACTAAAAGTCATTTTACAGAGAATTATTATCATTAAAAAGAACTTTTGGAGAAAGTTAGGTCAGATTTAAAAGCGTTTAAAGGCGTCGTCTCCTCGGCCATCATTAAGCTTACAGGCTGTTGCTTGTTTGGTGTGAATGAAGGGAAATGATTGGTGCAGTTTACTGTTTTCATTTAAGCCAAATAGATCAGAATAGTTTCCTCCTCAGGATGCAGTCACTTCCTTCATAGTCATTTCTTCTCTTTACATCCTAAAAAGTAACATGGCTTCTTTTAACACCTCTGAGAAAATAGTGAACAAACAGCAGCAAGTGTTTGAGAGAAGCAGAGGAGATCAGAAGATGTGAGGAAGGAGGAACGGAGGGGGCGACAAAGAGGGGGAGACAAAGAGGGGGACAGCAGCTGATGGAGAGGAGCTAAAACAATCCCAGAAAGGAGCGTCAATAATCGGACGCCAAACGCTTATAAATACGCTGCTTATGAGAGAAAAAGAGGCGAGGCCTAAATGAGCTGTTTTACTAACATTTTGCTTTCATCCATCATTAGCTCAACATGGAAGAGCAAAACAGCAAATTAACAAGATCTTCAGTCGGTAAAATGTGCTGAGTTCAGGAGCAGCTGTAATGTCCTCTAAGAGCAGGGAAAACAACATTATGGGTGTAATGAAGTGGAACGCAGACGGGTCACAAATAAAAGCTTGACTTAAGCAGAACTGTGACAACATGGCTGACAGCAGCACTTCACAAGCACCAGTTTTCCTCCTCAGGGAGGCCAGAACGTCTACGTCACCCGAGACAAACTTCTGCCTGACGCTCCGTGGAGAAACGCTTGGATGAAGGAAAATAGGTTTTTAGCTGCAGATAAATGTTTGGTTTATTTCTAAACAGAAAATCTATTGGTCCTTAATCCTTGCAGGGTCACAGAGAGATGTCAGACTACTAGAGATCCAGAGACTCTCAGGCTTGATGAAGGTTTGGAGAAGTTACCAAAAGTCTGTCCTCGTACTCAGACACCTTTCCATCCATCAGAACATGATGGACTCTCAGATTCAAACCCACCGTGATGTTGGCATCAGGAATCCAGGCAAACACGTCTGTTAGGTTCAGTCTCTGCGGCTCACATGAACTGATCAGGGGGATCCTTCCGTATCGCCCTCTGACCTCCAAGCATGTTCAGATAACACCGGATATTTTCTGCCTTAGTTTTCCCCATCAGCATGTGTAGAAAACCCAGCATGCGTCAGCTGATGCCTTGCTCATTAACCGGCTCCTGACCGGGCCTCTTTAACGGGTAAGCCTGCGTTTGAAAAGAGGCCTGCGTGTCAGATGGTGTTTTGCACATATTTGTCGTTCTGACATTTAGTCCCTGCCTGCATTAACCTCCACCAACATCATGTCTGTTTGCTCCTGAGGCTGCAGAGAAGCAATCATGAGGATATCAGCTGCCAAAGAGCAGCCGGTTTGATCCACAGCCACTGTTTGACAGCAGTAGGCAGAAACGTGACAGCCAGACACCAAATCAACAGTCTGTGCCCCCCCGTCTCTGGTGTCTAATGAAGAAGCTAAATGCGTTTGAAGGGATTGTTGTCGTTGGCCTTTATTTCATCCTCTCCACCATCTGCCCTTTCTGGAATCTCTTAACGCTGCATCCCTGCATGCGCCGGAGGAGCAGATTAGATGTTTTTAATGTTGATGAAATGCAGCAGGCATTGTTTTCCTCGTCTGTTCAGTTACTGCCGACCCTAACTACCAAAGCCTTTCAGTTGTGCCGCAGAAATGGGAAACCACATGCCTCGCCGCTTTGCCTC